TGTTGAGTGACACTGCTTCCTTAGTATCCAGTGCAGACTGACACTGCTTTCTTAGTATTCATTGTGGAGTGACACTGCTTCCTTAGTGTCCAGTGCAGACTGACACTGCTTTCTTAGTATTCAGTATGAACCAACATGCTTCCTTAGTATTAATTGTTAACTGACACTGTTTCCTTGATATCCAGTTCAAGATCAACCTGCTCCTTTAGTATCCAGTGCAGACTGTTGTTTATCCCAGCAGACTGACATTCATTGCCATGTAGCTTCCTTAGACTTATACTTACACTTTCCTGAATATCTTGTGCATATAGATACTTCTTAAGTATCTAGTGCAGGCTGTTTGCTCTGCTCTAATAGGCAGTGCAGATTAACTGTTTCAGCTGCTTCCCAAATTAGCTTGCACATTCAGACTGATAATGATTCCCCAGTTCTCTAACTGTTGTATGGTTTATCTTGGCTTACAACACAATTGAAGGATTGCTTGGAAGCTGACCTTTTCACAACAGGCTGCCCTTATCTACAAATGGCAGAAGCCATTCAAGAGATATATCTTTAAATTTAGGTTTTCCCCTATAACTGGCTCATTAGAAGAAAGCAAAATTGTTTCTGACATCACTTGACATTCAAGTGTAAACATTTTATGTACTTGTATTTTTTTTTTGCCATTAAGCATTCTAGAAATGTGTCAAAATAGCTGTATTGTAATGAGCAGGAAAACAGTGCCGCTAATTGTACATGGTGCAAGTGCACGTCTGGTTTAATGTGTTGGTCTGTAATCAGTGTCATCATGTACAATTAAAGTGTAGCATTTGTCAGTCAGAAAACACTAGTCTTTGTTGTCAAAATCCTTGAATGCTTTCACTCAGGTCAAATTGTATGATTAGTTTCACCATACAACGTAATTAGATCATGAAATTCCTCAAATTTGCTGAAGACAAAAAGTTGCAATCAATGAGATTAGCGAGTCCATTTCTTAAAATGCAGAGTAAAAAATCAACTTAAATCTGTTTTGAGGGTTTACTGTTATACACATTCTTTGATTCTTAAAAGGCTACCATGCTATGCCATTTGGTGGATTTTGTTAAATTTTCAGTGAAAAAGCATAGCAGTTGTCATGGCGCTGTGGCATTTGCATTGGGTGAGCATTGAATAAGTATCATTTATGGTGACATACTCTAATACTGACAAAGTTTTTATATTGCAAGTCAATCTGTAGGTGCACCTTGATGATTTTGACATGCCACACTCATTTTCAGGTCAAATGGCCAAAAGTTTTTTTTCCCCTCGAGGGGAATTGTGATAGGGCCATGGAGATGGGAATTGTGTCATGGAGGGGAAAAATGTGAAATTCAGAAATGCCTTAAACAGTCCATTTAGTCAATTTGTGATGTTATACCATTATTTTTTTTCAAACAAGAATGTCCTTGTCTTTTTATCTATTAATTTGTGATAAAATTGTTCTCCAGGATAAACAAATGCCCTTAAAAAAACACTGGTTGCTCCTTGAGAAGCTTTTCGATTTCTTCTTTGGAATTTTATATTTCTTTGTGGACTAGTAAGTGAAAGCTTTATAGCTCAGTTGTGTTAATATTTTTCATCATAAAAAAGTAACATTTTGAGATTGAAGATTACATTTAATGGAGGACTTATCAGGGTTAGTTGTAAAAGTTTTCTTTCATACTAAAGATTCTTTGAGAAGACCCCCTTCTCTTAAGTGGAAAATGTGAAGTGTTTTGAGAAGACCCCATTGTTGGGTTCCAAGAGAAACAAAAAAAATTACAGCTGAACACAGGTTACCATGGTGAATGATTTAATTTACCTGGAATACTTCCTTGAAAAACAAGATTGTAAACAAGTTGGAATTCCCTTGTCGGCTTTCTCACCTGCTGAAAGTCAAGAATGTTTATAACTTTTAAGATATCTCACATTGCTGATAAAGGTGTCAGTTTCCTTTGCCTTGATTTACATCTTTCTATTTGTTTGTTTTCCTATTTTTGATCATGATGAAATAACCTTTCTGACATTTATGTCAGCAATGAAAAAATGGCTTTTTTTTTTTTAGCTCACCTGAGCTTGCTCAGGGTGAGCTTTTAGGATCGATGAATGTCCGTCGTCCGTCGTCCGCCGTCCACAATTGCTTGTGAACACTCTAGCGGTAGCATTTTTGCCTCAATCATCATCAAACTTGGTCAGGATGCTTATCTAGTTGAAAGCTCGGATGAGTTCGAACATGGGTCATCTCAGGTGAAAAACTAGGTCACAAGAGCTAAAAATAGAAAAACCTTGTGAACACTCTAGAGGTCACATTTTTGACCCAATCTTCATCAAACTTGGTCAGGATGTTTGTCTAGGTGATAGCTCGGATGAGTTCGAACATGGGTCATCTCGGATGAAAAAGTAGGTCACAGGAGCTATAAATAGAAAAACCTTGTGAACACTCTAGTGGTCACATTTTTGAACCAATCATCATCAAACTTGGTCAGAATGCTTGTCTAGTCAATTGCTTGATGAGTTCGAACATGGGTCATCTCTGATGAAAAACTAGTCACAGAGCTAAAAATAGAAAAAAATTGTTAACACTCAAGTGGTCACATTTTGCCCAATCATCATCAAACTTTGTCAGGATGCTTGTCTTAGATAATAGCTCGGATGAGTTCGAACATGGGTCATCTCGGATGAAAAACTAGGTCACAGGAGCTAAAAATAGAAAAACCTTGTTAACACTCAAGTGGTCACATTTTTGCCTTCAATCATCATCAAACTTTGACAGGATGCTTCTCTAGGTTATAGCTCGGATGAGTTCGAACATGGGTCATCTCCGATGAAAAACTAGGTCACAGGAGCTAAAAACAGAAAAACCTTGTTAACACTCAAGTGGTCACATTTTGCCTCAATCATCATCAAACTTTGACATGATGCTTGTCTAGGTTATAGCTCGGATGAGTTTGAACATTGGTCAACTCGGATGAAAAACTAGGTCACAGAAACTAAAACTATAAAAACCTTCTTAACGCTCTAGTGGTCACATTTTTGACTAAATTTTCATCAATCTTTTTCAGGATGTTTGTCTAGGTAATTGCTCGGATGCCTTAAAACATGGGTCATCTCGGATGAAAAATTAGGTCACAGGAACTAAAAATAGAAAAATCTTGTTAGCACTCTAGTGGCTACTGTTTTGATCCAAATATCCTGGGTATTGGTCTGAAAGTTTGTTTTGATGATTTCTAGGTCAAGATCGAACATGGGTCATCTTTGGATGAAAAACTAGGTCACACCGCCCAAATATGGAAAAACCTTGTTAACATTCTAGTGGTCACATTTTCGACTCCATTATCATCAAACTTTGGTCAGAATGCTTGTCTAGGTAATTGCTTGGATGAGTTCGAAATGGCATGTGAAACTAGGTCACCGGAGCTAAAAATAGAAAAATCTTGTTAACACTCTAGTTGCTACTGTTTTGATCCAAGTATCCTGGAAATTGGTCTGAAAGTTTGTTTTGATGATTTCTAGGTCAAGTTTGAATATGTGTCACCTGGGTAAAAAACTAGGTCGCACTGCTCAAATATGGATAATCCTTGTTAACACTGTAGTGGTCACATTTTTGACTCACCTGTCATGAGACTTGGTCAGAATGCTTGTCTAGGTAATTGTTTGGATGAGTTTGATAATTCAGGTGAGCGATCTAGGGCCATCATGGCCCTCTTGTTTCTTGTGTGCAACAATGTAGTTCGTCTGACTTCTCTTTTTCTAGGTCATTAAGGCTAAGATAAGATATTCCAACATTTCCTTATAGTAAGGTCATGTTTTAACCATTGTGAAAGTGGCATATATGAGCCGTGTCACAACAAAACCAACATTGTGCGTTTGCCACCAGCATGGATCCAGACCAGCCTGCGCATCCGCGCAGTCTGATCAGGATCCATGCTGTTCTCTTACCAACCCTTTTACAAGTAGAGAAACTGATAGCGAACAGCATGGATCCTGATCAGACTGCGCGGATGCACAGGCTGGTCTGGATCCACGCTGGTGGCAAACGCATAACATTGGTTTTGTCATTACGCGGCTCATATGTTGTTCTTTGATCAAGAGACTGTCACAGATGTGCTGGCTGATTTTGGTCTTCACTGGTCACTCGAGTTGCCACCAGGAGGCTGAGGGTTGAGAAGAATATCTAGAATTAGTAGTAGAGTGTTTATATAATGTGTTGCTGGTGTTGGTAGACCCAAAGTTGCTTTGTCCTAAACCCTGTGTAAAATGGCTGTCATGTATTCATCTGAAATATAAGTTAAAGAACTGCTTGAAAATGATAGTAGAAATAATTTGGTGATTTTATTATCATTGTTTTAGCATGAAGAATGGTAAATTCATGCCACATATATTTATGTTTAGAAATATGATTATAAAAGTAATATTGTATACATCATGATTTGGCTACAGTTACAACCAGGAGTTAGTGTGTTGCCAATAGAGTACCAGTACTGCCAAGATTTCTGAATGAGTATGTTGCCAGGAAAATATTGTATAAAATATAGAGATAGCTTATAATGCCAAGGATACCAGCAGCTATCAACAAGTGAAAGTTTGTCTGTAACTTAATTAGAAACAGCACCTGGTGTTTGGCTAGGTCATTGCAGGAAATATATGACTAAAAAAACACAACAGCATTGTAGTGCAGATGTTAATGAGATTCTGTATTTCTTATGTAGTAAAAAGTCATACAAACAAGATATAAATTTTGATTTGTAAGAAATTGTTTTTATATACATCTGTTTTGGCATAAGCAGCCATATCGGCTAAATCTTTTTGTATAGTAATCTAATCATCATGGCAAAATGCATTTCTTCATAAAAGTTGTAATTTGAAGTCAAATTTGCACATTTAATAAATTCTATGCTGATGTTACTCAGCAATTTAGTGTAAAAGTGTTACTATTCTAATAATGATTCATGACCTTGTCTGTGGGCATGTACTTTATTTTCTTCTCTTTCCTATATTTGCAGACATTGTCAGTTACAGATGACACTGTTTTAGAAGAACACAATGAGGACCCCACATTAATACAGATGCACCTTATTGATGATGGAGGTAAGGTTCTTGGTGTTTGAAACGCGTACAACATTGTATTCCTTCTAAAATAATTCTAACAATACATAATTTTACCCCCGCACAACAAAGTTGTAAGGGGGGTATACTGGAATCAGCTTGTCCGTCCATCCGGCCGTCCGTCTGGCTGTCCGTCGGTTTCTTCTTGTCCGCCCAATAACTTAAGATTCCTTTGACCCTTAGTCTTCATATTTGGCATGGAGGTTAGTCATGATTAGTAGATGACCCCTATTGATTTTGAGGTCACTAGGTCAAAGGTCAAGGTCACAGGGGCCTTGACTTCAAAAAGCTTGTCTGCCCAATAACTTAAGATTCCTTTGACCTACAGTTGTCATATTTGGCATGCAGGTCAGTCATGATTAGTAGATGAGCTCTTTTGACTTTGAGGTCACCAGGTCAAAGGTCAAGGTCACAGGGGCCTTGACTTCAAAAAGCTTGGCCACCCTATAACTTAAGATTCCTTTGACCCATAGTCTTCATATTTGGCATGGAGGTTAGTCATGATTAGTAGATGACCCCTATTGATTTTGAGGTCAAAGGTCAAGGTCACAGGGCTTTGACTCCAAAAAGCTTGTCCGCCCAATAACTTAAGATTCCTTTGACCCACAGTCTTCATATTTGGAATGGAGGTTAGTCATGATTAGTAGATGACCCCTATTGATTTTGAGGTCACCAGGTCAAAGGTCAAGGTCACAGGGGCCTTGAGTTCAAAAAGCTTGTTCGCCCAATAACTTAAGATTCCTTTGACTCACAGTCTTCATATTTGGAATGGAGGTTAGTCATGATTAGTAGATGACCCCAATTGATTTTGATGTCACCAGGTCAAAGGTTAAGGTCACAGGGACTTTGACTTCAAAAAGTTTGTCTTCCCAATAACTTCAGATTCCTTTGACCCACAGTCTTCATATTTTGCATGGATGTTGATCATGATTAGTAGATGACCCCTTTTGATTTTGAGGTCACTGGATCAAAGGTCAAGGTCATAGGGACTTTGACTTCAAAAAGTTTGTCCACCCATTAACTTAAGATTCCTTTGACTCACAGTCTTCATATTTGGCATGGATGTTGATCATGACTATAAGGTGACCCCTATTGATTTTGAGGTCACTGGGTCAAAGGTCAAGGTCACAAAAAGCTTTTCTTCTCAATTGTTAAAGAATGTCCTGTCCGCAATGTATTGATTTTGACATTTTCACATTTGAAGCATGTAGAATACATAACTTAGCAATGCACTGGCTTAGATACCTCAGATTTGGCAGGGAGGTTGTCCTTGAGCTCTAAATGGCCACTGTTGATTCTGACAAATTGGTATGCGGGGGTATTCACGCCATGATAGTGGCAGTTCTAGTTATGGCATTATACATAGGTCTTTCAAACTCATTTTTCAGACAGCCCAAGCGTATTTTCGGTCACACAAGTGTGACAGGCAAATATTTTAGGCACTTAATTATCTGACTATTGTATTGAGAACACTTAATAAAAACAACCAGGCTGAATGTTTTGTAATGATGTGGTTTTTAATTGAAGGCGTAAACAAGATTCAAGAGAGATAGTTTTAATATATGAACAGTGTTCAAATGATTTTTATGCCACTTATTAAACAGTGGGGAGCAAAACAGATTTTCAAAGAATTATTGTTGTGACCGATTTACCTACATTTATAACTGTACAATAATGTAACACCATTTAGAAAATAAACATCTGTACTCCCACTAGATGATGTACATATATTTATATACCTTGATGAATTAAAAGGTAAATATTAAATGGCTTTTTTTAAAAGAATGCATAATTTTTCTTCAGTAGACATCCGTCAATTTCAAGTAAACGTCACGAAATGTTTGTTACAATTGAATTGATTGCTTTTTCAACTTGCTTTCATCTATCAACTAATGTTAATGATTTACCAAGGTGATTTACAATGCTTGAAACAGGTCTGGATTGGATGTGAATACATCAGTACAAAATTATCAATAAGTAAGATACTAAGTTGCGATACAACAGTAATTATGTATGAATAATTATGTACATGCAGTTTTGAATTCACCCCTTTCTGCCTCCTATTCTGCTTTCTGTAAGGGGTAGGATGGGGTCCCCTTTCTAGTCAGTCAATGCAACACCTTCAGCAACTGACAATTGAAAATCCCCCCCCCCACCCACACACACACCTCCCCCCTCCTTGCACCATTCAAAAGATATAAATAAATCAATTAAGTTTTCTTTCACTGTTTGACTAGTGTGTGAATAATTAAAGACAAACCAGAAATACCTACAATATCCCCATGTGTAAAGAAAATGTCTATTAACCTTGGTTATCTAGCAGTTATCTGCCTATCTAACAGCAGGTGGGTTTTATGACTTTTAATTTGGTGTATTAATCTCAATAGTGGAAAACTAGGTTATAGGGAACATCTCAAAGTTCCCGAAGAGCTCTATGCTGCTGTATTTCTTTCTGCTGTATTTTTGTATGTCATCTAAATGTTAATTTTATTTTAATAATTAGTGGTGAAAAGTAATTAGTTATGCGGGGAAAGTATAATTATTAGTTAATTAATACAGCAACTTTCTCTGAATTGGTATAATTACATTTTTATTCTTTTTTGCTGGTGATTCAACAAGATAATGTTAGTCGCGGATTCAACAAGATGATAAATTCATGTAAATAATTAAACAAGGCATTTGAAGTAGGACAACTATTCTACAATATAGTTCACCTGAATGATTTAACAAGATAAATCGAGTACAGATGTCAAGATTTAGTTAAAACTTCAAGTCCGCATTTCAAGATTTAGTTTAAAACTAGATTACATGGAACTCTTCAGATGCCCATTACTTGGCTTAAAGCTGGTTATAAACCTGCATTGCATTTGACATCTTTGATGTTTGTTTAACAAGCTATGTGTTTGCACTGAAATTAGGCCTTTGAGGTTGGCTGAATCCCAGGATGTTGATCAAATCTGCACTATTTCACTGAAATTGAACCATGCCTGCAGCTGTTGTATGCACAGATAGTATTTCCCTGATTACCACTGTTTTCACATCTTTATTAATTCCTGGGGAATTTTGATTACTTTTTCAGAAAATGTAATGTTGTTGATGCAAACATTGCTCTGTGATCATAGTCATCACACCTGAAGTTAATGTTTATTAATTTTCTAAGGTCTGTTATTGTTAAGTACAGTAAAAACTCGCTAATGAGACCAATGAAGGGACTTTACAAATCTGGTCTTAATAGCGGGTTGGTCTCATTAATGAGTTTCGTAAGACAGAAAACCAGGCAATATATTACAGGATACCATGTACTGTACACATGTTTAATTCTGGGCTAACCTATTTCAAATGAGAAGATATTAAATAAGCATACACTATTATTTTTTATTTTCATTTATTTTCTTTTTCTTTTTAACATTATTAAACTTTTAAACTTCTTTAGAGGTACAAAATGTATTATGAATGTCTTTTAACACAAACATATTTTTACATTCTTGTTTAAAGAATGACATGACTTACTCAATAAAATCACCATTTTACTACAAAGCACATCGACCAATTAACCTTTAATTATTTTCACAGTTTTCATCGCCGATAACAACTTCAAAAACCTAATCATATCATGTTTATGTTTGTTTAAAATTATGGAACGAAAGAGATAATGATAGCAGCAACACCTCTAAAAAACTTATTGAAAGTTTTCTGTTCAATATTTTGTTGTTTTAATCCTCCAGTTATGACATAAAAGGTGTGAAATTAAGAAATTATCGACAATATTATTGATCATTTCCGGGTTTGATAAAAAGTAACCTTGACCTTTGCCGTAAATTGGATGTCGTTAAATGTCGTAAAACTAGGACAACTGTTGTTTACACTACGTGTCAAAAAGATTTCAGCAATATACATGCATGTCAATATCAAGGTGAGAAAGTGCCCGCGGTCGTATTTATGGGTTTCCAAATGTACAGAATTTACGAAATGGGACTGAATTTACTGGTCGTATTACGGAATAACGGGGTGGTCTCAAAATCGGGGTGAGCGACCATTAAAATAAAGAATAAAAAAATCGGGTCTTGGAAAAATCGTTCGTATTAGCGGGTTGGTCTCGAAAACGGGGTGGTCGTAAAGCGGGTTTTTACTGTACAGGCCCGTGCCATTAACTAGTAGAAAGCCAGGCCAAAAACGGCACCTGTGTGTGTGTAAAGTTTGACCAGACCTGTACTATAACCTGTAAAATTTGTGCTGCACCATGACAAAACCAACATAGTGTTTGCGACCAGCATGGATCAAGACCAGCATGCGCATTCGCACAGTCTGATCAGGATCCATGCTGTTCGCCTACAAACTATATTACAAGTATAGAAACTGATAGTAAACAGCATGGATCCTGATAAGACTGTGAGGATGCAAGAACAGGTCAGTAATACAGTGATCATTGATATCACAATTTAATGTTGGATTTACACTTTGGACCATAATGATTGTTCATAGGTTAGAAGTAAGATTAAGTTGTTACATTGCATGTTTAGGGTATTAACCTTGTTTGATAATATTGGGACATTAGGTAAGATATCATTTTGCCATATAACCTTTCATTATAATTAAGCTGCAGTTAACTTTTACAGAAGACAGTGTAAATCCTGACATTATTTTCTCAAAACCCAGCCCACACACAGATACATGGACAAATGTACCTTTGTCATAAAATCTGGGTCATGAAAGATAAGATTCTGCTTAACATAACAATGTTGTATATAAGTTTTCAACTTTTTTTTACTCTCATCATGCCTTGTAATTTAATTCTGGTGACAGTTCAATTTTAGTTGTCGTGATTTTTTCCCTTCAATAAAATTATTGTTTGAGAAGTGCTTGCAGTTTTAATGATGTGCCTTTGCCATAGGAAACAGAGGCCAGGCCATTGCTAAAATGTTGTCATGTTAAGTATTGAAATTCTGTACAATGGAGAGCCACCCAAATCAAAGCATTGACAA